GAGGTTCAAGGACATCTCTCCTGATATAAAGGGTCCCAAAATGAATCATATTAGATGTTAATGGTAGCACCTGTTGAACAAACTTAAGGGAATAATAGTGCTTTTACATGCAGACGTTAAGCCATTTAGTACTTCTAGAAGATAGGGGGACTCACGAGAATGGACAGAACCAATGCAGCTGAGGATAAAATAGCCTGAATTCTTTATTTCAAATTTAAAAAAAATACTGCGTCACACATTTCTTACAATCCTAAAATAGGTGTCGCTCATTAGACTCTATTTATAAACCCAACATCTCCAGTTTCTAAGGTTTAAGAGGTGAAAAATATCTTCAAATGAGATAACATTATCTTCAGGGCCACTTTCTTAGACTAGATCTCCAAAATGAGAGATTTGGAGGAGCTTTCTTAGTCACTACTTCACAAAATAAGGCCAAAATGCTTGTCTTTTTGTTTGCAGATGAACTAAAAGATCCCTCCAATGTACTGCACTGAGCGCTTTTTCAATTCTGCCAGGTTAACAATGCTCGGTAGTGGTGTTACAAAAATACCTTTTTCGAATTTGAATCAAGTCCACAGATTGGAATATTCAGAAGGACGTGGGAGTTAAACTTGTCATGTAAGTTATATTCTTTACCCACACCGACTCTCCATCCCAAGTAAACTGATATGGATGCCTGTAATCAGTGGAGTGTCCCTTTAATTTATGCCCTTTATGAGAACCAGCTGAAAAACAAATCGAAATTCCTGCTACTGGCAGTGATTTAACACCTTAAACATGATCTGTGTTCGTTAAAATTACATATTTAGAAGTTATTTTCAGGAAAGTAATGCCTTGTGTGGATCTAAAAATACTCAAATGTCTGTCTCCACCCCTCTGCTGCTCACCTGCAGCTCGAGCAGCCTGTTCACCCTTGACTCTGCCCAAACACTGCAAAACTACCCCACGATAGCAAGCTGTAATGTTGGAATAATTCAGGATCTGGAAACTGATTCTAAAGAAGAAGAAACAAATTGTAAAGGGTCATCTCAGGGCACCTTAACATTACCCAAGGCACTGGGTCGACAGACATTTTGGAGCACCCACTAACTTCCTCCTGCTCCCAGCAGTGGGATCAGCACCCTGGAGAGCGGCTCGCTGCACAGTCCTGACAAACACAGGCCTGGCACGAAGATGAAGATGCAATAGCCTCAGGAAGGCTAAATAACAATAACCTGAGGGCCTTCACTCAGGGTTTTCCACAGGGATGCTGAGGAGCCAGCCAGTGGGAAAAAAAATAAGCAGCTCGGGGTTCCAGGGGCATGCCTCCCTGGAGAAAAATCTGGCTGGAAAATCCCAAATTCGTTGGCCTCTGACATATTGTTATGCCAAGAATTAGTCTTCTTATGCATTTTAGTCCACACGGTAAATGGCTTATATTATCTGTAATCATACCTATTAGTGACAGATCAGAAGCTTTGTAATTACAAACCATTAGACCTTATGTTTTATTTATTATTTACACACGGACACCTTCACTGTAAGGTTTTTCAAAACACGTCACAATAATGGTGAATGTATTGTGTGACTTGAAACATAAATGTACTCTTATTCAGCAGAAAAAAATGTCATTTTAAGGGACTCCATGTTTATAATCTCATGTCTTATCTTTGATTTTAAATGTCATGATTTAGAAAATAAACTTATACCAGAACTGATGTAAAATAATAAATCATTTGACTGAAATCATGTGAATCTACTGAATCAACTGCTGATCATGTTCTGCTTTGAAAAGCACCATGTAAGTAGAGATCCAGATCCTGCCTGTGCAATTAATGCAATTTCTCATTCGTTTTGTAATCTAATTTTTTTTTTTTTACTATTATGTTATTCTTATAGTGCATGTGGGGGTGGACCGACACAGACAGACAGTCATGTTTGTCTTTCATCGTGCTCCCATTGTTTTAAAGCAGTGGTTGTTAAAATGTGCAAAAAAAATGCAACTTTTGTTAAAACCTATAATAATACGAACAATAATCATCTTTATTTATCGAGCACGTTTTTGAAGAACCACTTTTCAATCACAAGGCAGCAAGAAAAAGCTCAAAAAAATCATCAAAGTTAAAAAGACACACAACAAGGTGTATTAGTTAGTGGTAGAAACATTAATGAAAGAAATTGAAGCAGCTCAAAGGGAATAACTTACTAAAGGCCCTTCAATAAACTATGCTTTGAGAAGAGACAAGCTATTTTATTATAAGCAAACACATATATTCTATGAATTGTGAGTGTGCTTGGTTGTCTGTCTCTAAGTGCAGCCCTGTGATAGACTGGTGACCTGTCCAGGGCGTCCCCTGCCTTCACCCTGAGTTGGCTGGGATAGACTTCAGCCCCCCACGACCCTAGTGAGGATTAGTGGTGTATAGATAATGGATGGATATATTCTATGAACTAGTTGGCTGGATTTCACTGTGTAGTTCTCTTGTAGGCCACAACTTGAGGCTCTTGAAGAAGTTTCACCTCTCATCCAAGAGATTTCTTCAATTCTATCATGTTCAGTTCCAACACAAGACAAAAAAATAAATAAAATAATGAATTAATTCAAAAATAGCTGAATTTAATCTTGTGCCTTATGAGAACATGTCAGAACTGAAGAACCGTCCTGGATGAGAGGTGAAACATCTTCAAGAATACAAAAGAGAAGCCCAGTTGATTTCTACTGAAGCTCCAAGGATTACCATGACCTGGATGACTGAACCTAAACCAACTTCAGGCTACAGAAGTACCTTTCCTCCATTATAGGACCATTTTGTGTGACGATGACAAGCAAGTTGCGATCCAGCCTCTGACCAACTAGAGACATGACGAGACCCAAAAAAAAAAAAAAAAAGCAAATCTAATAATGTAATCCCATGCCTCATGAGGCCCCTGGTTAACCGGATACCCTGGTAAGCCCATGCGTTAATGTGCCAGTGGTAGATAAAGGTTTACATTTTCTCCTTTTGCAGCTTTGAAACCAAAAACAGAACTCTTTTCCACTTCTGTTCTGGTGCAGAAAGCCTCGCACCACGAGGTAACAGGATTGAATTCTTACAAGTTATTGTGCATGAAAGCCTGTCTGTCGAAATCTGTGTCTTCAGACTGTCATCGCTGCACTGCAGGTTCATGGTGAAAATGCTCAGCCATGGCGCTGACTGATTATCCTGCTCATGATATGTCTTCTAGCATAAAAACCGTCACTGGATCAGATCTGATTTTCATCTGAGGGGGTCTTTAATACATTTGACGTCCCATAAGTCCCTGCACTAAATATATGCTACTATCGTGTAGCATATTTAAAAAATGTTCCCTTTGCCAGGAAAAAAAAAAAGCTTTCCCTGGCAGTTAGACTGAGGGTAAATGTAATTTTAGAATGGCATGTCAGACACAACAATTTAAAATATAAACAGTACGCTATCTGCTTGTAATGCTTTATAGCTCCGTCAATCTGTCACATGCTAAGAATAGCAGCGTCTGAATTTGCATATTACTTAGCAAGTTTTCATAGATTTAAAAGCTCCCTCTGTTTCATAAAGCCTCCCTTTCCTGTCTGGAAAGACGATTTCACAGATGAAAAATGTATCAGATTCAATGCGGAAGATGGAAAGGGGTACCTCATGATTTATTCATTTGCCACAAAGTGAATTTAACACTTTAATGTTATAGAACGCCATTACAGCTCCGGCAGGAAATTTTTTTTCACCATCACACAACACTGCTGCATATTAGGTAACATAACTTATTTATCACAGTATTTAAAGAAAAGGTTGGCTCCTAAGTAAACAAAAAATTAGCTGGCATTTGGCGTGCAGCTGTGATGAGGAAGTGTAGAAAATGAGGGGATTTGGTGGGTTGAGCCAGAGAAGGTGCAGCTGGGCGAATGATTCAGCTTAGGTGATGTATAAGCGCCCAAGGCTAAACATTTTGAACAAGAGCCCAAAAAGAAAAGGGGACAGAGCTGGAGAGGGACACACTGAGTTTCTGAGAGAGAGAGACGGATAGAGAGCGTGTGACTGAAGATGTCTTCATCCACTCTGAGAGGCACATTTTCCTGGGAATACCTCTGGCTTCATGCTAGCTTGTTGACAGAACTAAATTGATGTGATTTGATGGTACAGCAGCACCCACACTGACAAACACGACACCAGTCCCTGCCAGCCTCGTCCCTACTTTGGAACACAAGCCCACACAGATACACACTCACATTTTGTATGCATTCAGTTGGAAAAAAAAAATAAACAGGGCCCAGTGCTTTAGGAACAAGAACTAAGATTAAACTTTCTTCATCTTCCTTCCTCATCATCACCTACTGCTCAACAACAAAGTGAAGATGGAATATCCCCCTCTCAGTCACAAGCCCTTTAAAGGCACTGAGTGGATTTTAATAAGGAGTGGAGCGGTTAGCAGCGCGCACCGTCGTCTTCAATGGGATTAAGAGGCTTTGAATGGTTGAGGCCATTAAAACCTACACCAGCCCAGAAGTCCTGGAGCGCCTTATGAGCATATTTATCATTAGGATTAACAAACCCAGTCTGTGAACGCTCTCACCCCAGGAGCACAGCCACCTCTACCCTTGTACCATTATTGTGTTTAGCTGAGTGGCTGATGATGTGAGTGATTCAGCAGCATAAGAGGTAAAGGTCTGGTCCCAGGCTGCTGACCGTCCCCGGTGGACTGCTGTCAGCAGCATCAGCAACATCTGCATCCACCAGCTCAGCCGTGTGCTGTATAAAAAGCAATCGCTCCTACAGGCTAAGTACATTGTTGTCTAATTCCACTTCCACTAACCCCGTGCATGACATGAGCAAAGAATAGACCCAGAAGTCACTGCACTGTTTGTGGAGGAGGAAAATCTCCCTTGAGGATGTGTGTGTGTGTGTGTGCACTTTGCAGTCTGGAGAGATTTCGGGGATTTGACCATCAGCGTGTTGAGTCATCGTACCCTAACCAGTTTCCTGCTTCCCTCCTCTCTCACCCCTCAGATCTTCCACATGACCTATGACCTGGCCAGCGCCATGGTGAGGATAGTCAACCTGATCGGCATGATGCTGCTGCTGTGTCACTGGGATGGCTGCCTGCAGTTCCTGGTGCCCATGCTGCAGGACTTCCCTGCCGACTGCTGGGTGTCCAAAAATAAGATGGTGGTAAGTGCTTCTCCTGAACAGAGTCCTCCTGCCCTTTTGAATCAGATTATGCTCTGCCTTATCTCATCCATCAGCTACAGTAATTATTGCACTAAAACCCCTTAGCTTCCTGGGAAAGATTGTCTCGCATATCTGTCATTTTAAGCCCTAACTCAGATATGTTTATCTGCTGCCATATTTATTCAATTTGCTAATTATTTTTCATTTATTTAGTATTCTTGACGTCTGTCCTCGTTGTGAAAGGAGGCTGCGCATGGAACATTGATTTTTTTCCGAGGAGGACAGACAGCCCTTCTCCAATATTGGTTGAATATTGACAGTTTCCAGTGAGCGCTCATGCCGCGCTTTAATTTTGTTGTATTGTTAAAACAGCTGCCGGGGTAGAGCCTCTGTTAAAGCCTGACTCACAACAGAGTTCTCTTTTATTAGCTTATGGAAGCGGACTGTGTCACACCTGATGTGCGATTCACCCGCAGCTGACGGCCTCATGTCAACTCTGCATGTTATGAAAGAGCGCCGCTCCAAAAGGAATCAGAGTCATTGTCAGGTTTTATGGTGGGAATTGATCAGACATCAATGAAAGCTCATGTCTTTAGTTGAACATACCAATAAATCAACATGTATTTAACCCTTACACAATGCAGTTGAGGAGAGTGGTCCCCTAACTGATAGCTTATCAATACATGTGTCAATGTAAATGTCAATAGGGCGATGTTCGGGCTTTTGTTTAATGGAATAAAAGCTTTCCAGCTTGAATAGGCTCATTGGTAACAGTTCGACCAACCACCTTTTCCTCTATTAGCCGACTGCTTGTAGCTGTAGTATAATAACCACAGCTGTCCTGTTTTAATTATTATCTAAAAAATGTGCATTATTTTTATTAGAATGTAAGGCTATATACAGAATAAAATCACTTTTTGAGTAATTCCAACCAGGGGAGCGAGAGAATTCTGACGCTATTAGCAGAAAGGTGACAGCTTATGTGCCCAGAACAAACATATAATTAAACGCTGACAACAACAACAGAAAAAAAAAACACATTAAAGGAAGTCCTCTTATATGTAAACCAGCTTCTATTCAGCTCCAAGTTCAGCGCTCCGTGCCAGAACAGATGTCACATGAGAAGTTACATCGCTCAAGGTATGATGTATTTGGTTCATCATGCCTCGCTGCCTCGCTGACGTGCTCACTTGTTTCACTGAGTCTGCCTCTCTTAGATTTAAGCGTAAGCAGATGTTGCAAACCACTGTCCCTTGAGATTTTTATTTTACACATTAGCTAATTTTAGCTTGTTTTCCATACCTGTCAGGTGGGGAGGTCCTGTTTAGGAGCAATGCATTAGTAATTACTTCTAAGTTGAACAACAGAGTAGAGTTGCTACTTTTTTGTTAAATAAAAAAACTCATAGTTTAGATTAACAAAAATGCAGGCTCTACAGTAGGAAGTCAATGCAAAAAACAACGTAAGTTAACCTTTTAATCTTGCAAATCAAATCTTTTAGTTTGTCAATACTTTGTATGTCCACTTTTATTTTTCATTCCTCCTCTGCATGGACGATACCAACACCAGTGTGGCACAGATTTTTCGGGGAGATGTTCTGCCTTTGTTCAGACATTTTTTTTCAGCCGCTCTTTGCTGGAGGGTTGTTTTGCTTTATCTTGGTTCTTAAAATACCCCTAAGGTGTTCTATTGGATTCAAGTCAGGCGACATACTTGGCCAGGTTGTCGTCTACACTTTATTTCTTCTTTAGAAACTCTTGTGGGTTTTTGGCTGTGCGCTTTGGATTATTATCATGCTGGATATTCCTCTTGTGCCAAACCTCTGCAGCAGGCATTAATGATGCCATCTATAAATGTCATCTCCTCAACACCTTTTGCTCTCATGCAGTCCCATAGCATCGTACTCCCACCTCCATGCTTCACTGTCAGGACTATGCATTCACTGTAGTACTCCTGACCAGTTTCATCCTAACGTGTTGTTCTTAGTCCGAGGGAACAACTTTATCTTGGTCTCATCCCAATATTCATCATGATTGTTTTCATGTTCTTTAGCCAAGTTTTATTTTGCAACTTTGTGCTAAAGAGCAAGCATTTTTTAAATTATTTTTTTCTTGGGCGCCGTCTATCGAAATTGACATTATGTGACGTCTTTTGCAAGGTTTGAGCTGTCACAGAAACTCCAATTTCTGTTGATAAGCCCTGTGCCAAGTCTGAAGCACTTGCCCATCCATTTGTGAGAGACTGTGCACGGCGCGCACTCTTCACGTCAACCACTGCAGCTATAGTTGGTGATACTATGGCTCGATCTATTCCTCCTGATTACTGCAGCAACTGTACTCGATTTTTAGTTGGTCTCTGATGTTTTCTCACAGATTTTTAAATTCCTCTGACAATTCTCTTCTAAGTGGAGCCATGATGCAGACATGTATACAAAAAGAGCTGATAGATCCAACATTTTAAAAAGCTTCTGACATTCACAGAGCATTTTATACCAATGCTCATTTAATTAGGCTAATTAGAAATCACAGGTGCTCTCAAATGTGTTTAATTATCACAGGTTTTCTAACTTGTGTGTCAG